GGCACGTTGAGAACGACGCTCAGAGTTCTTAACCTCTTGAAGTCTCGTTGAAAGTGTATTACCAATGGAAACTGTCACAGTTTTATCGTTCATATGTATTTCAGGTTTTTTTCAATGATAAATTATTTATCAAGAATAACGGAAACAATTATAAGGTGAACTAGGACACTAGGACAGGTGAACAGTGTATAAGCCAACAATTTTGCGGCGCGCATATTTCCATTAATAAGGTGAATCCTCCTCCTATATCCCGTCAAACTGTGATAATTTCTGCCGTAAAGGTTAAATACCAAGACAAATCGTTTGGTGTTGATCAACTGCTTGCGAATTACCTACGCTTTCCCTACATTTAAACATCGGAGAGACGACTGAATGCATCTTTCAATTGTGCAGTGACTGTCGGAGCTCCCTCACATGTCCCATCAGTGTTCTTCTCCCTTTTCATTCTAAACCAATGTGACTTCAGCTTGCTAACATCCAAGGATGTGCAGACGCGCATTCTGTTCGCGTACCTCAGAGGAAACGATAGCTGGAACGACTGAGAATCAGATGAGAGGGTTACTTGCTGTGTTACTGCCAATGCATAACATTAGAGATATGCAAAAAAGACAAGTTAATTAAGGCTGATATTCCGAAACTGTAGACGCTACTTCAAATTATACAATAAGACAGCATATGTCAGGAAACTTCACAGGAATGGTGTAATAGCAGTGTAAATAAACGCTCAATAATGAACGACGTTTAAAACGACATGGGACTTACGAGGAATCTCATCGCTATGCTACATCATACAGAATTGCTCAACAACAGTATGACGTCACAGATATGTATATGCCTTCAAATGTATGCACAAGTGCGAAGAATACAAGAAGCGCAGCTTTACTAAAATAAAACTAACTTAGCTTCCTCCCTCTGACCTACAACAAAATAAAGCGACAGAGGTATAGCAGAGTTGACAGCATGAAAATCAGAATGATTGCGCCTTAATGAAATTTTCCGTCAAAATCATTTCATTCGATCGCTGGATATTGTGTTTTCAAGAACAACGTGCTACGTCGCGTAGTTGTGTCATAGCACCATAATGATAAACAGCCGTCGCTGCTTGACGTTTACATGTGTAAACTTAACAGAAGTTAACTGAAGTACAACTCTATGATTACAGTAGGCACCTGGAGATGGGGCTAGACAAGGCAACTATAGATGTGTGGGCAACGGTGACATTGAACAGATCCTCATTTTTCTCTTCTTCTTTAACAAAGGCAGAACCAAGATGATGCTGAGATATTTGCAAAACACATGACAGCAAGTGTCTGTGGTGGGAAGCGAACACTCTGCTACCCTTTCCGGGGCTAACGCGTTCCGTAGGAATTAGTTTTAAGGACCCAATAACTCGCAAAGATATAGTGCATAGGACCTCACATAAGAGGCCTATGTTGGAACATAAACGTGGAAATGTAGCAGAGACTTCTTCGAATCCTGTCCACAGCAACATTGTCTGCCTTGCACTACCGGAACAATAAGAACGGAAATGCTCGGGAAGTTTATTGAGAAGAACTTGTTCGATGAGCCGAGTTTACAAAACGTTGCTATTTATTTCATCTGCCAGGAAAAACATCCACTGCAGTAGCATTTCCACTGCGTGACGAAGGCCGAGCGTACGATTTCCCATTTGGCTTCTCGCAATGCTAAGGTGATTCACTTGAGCTACAAACACGCATCACCGTCTACTAGGGGAACGAGCTCAAGAAGACATCGTTAAAATTTGGGTTAGGTTCAGATCCTTTCTGTTTTCTGTCATTGGTTTTTTGACAAGCGGTTGGTCTACTGATGGGGGTTTTAAAAGTTTATTTCGTTGAACACTTAATACCAGCGAATAAGACGTTCTACCTTGATCGGCATGAAATTGTGCTGTTGTTGATGCTTTTCTTTATTCCGTTTAGAGTATGACGCGACCTGTAGAGCAGGGTTGCTCACAGAATTCCGCGTGGCCAGCAAATTATGGCTCACATGAGCAGCATTCGTCAAATTTAGTGGTACGTTGAAGCTGTCACTGCCATATTGGCAAAAGCGTAGTCGCGCGAAGCCAGGTGTTGACATCGAAAGAAAGTCCTAGAGCCACTCTCGAGTCTCCAGGAAAGGAAATTTTGCCCGGTGAGCAAATTACTTATCAGATAGGTTTGTGGTTGCGTGATTCTTCGTGAACACGACCCATCAAGTATTTAGAGGAGTTGATTTATCATAGAGCATTTCTAGACAACATTTGAGTATTGGGAGTAAAAAATAAAGCCATAAGTGTTTAGCTGTACTATACCTGCTTGTCATTAAAAGTGAAATGGTTGCTGCACCAAAGTGGAAAATGATCAGAGCGTAGTGACTGTTTTCCACGTTGCTCAAGTCATTCCCTAGTTTGTCTTTATTATTGGCTGACACGGAGCTGGCATGAGAAGTATTTATTCCGCTGAAATTTCGGCGCCTCTGTCATGTTTAGTGTCGTTGGTCTGAACCGATAATGCACAGCTGGTCGTCGTCTCGAAGATGGTGTTCCTTGTCCCATCGAATCGAATCTAGTGAAGGGAACGCTGCTCTCATGAAGAATCTCATTTAGCAAGCGCTTTTGTTCAGGGATGTCCATCTATTGGCACAGTGCAGTGTAATCTGCTTTTTTGGCGGGAATGTGTCTTGCAGAGATTGGTATTATTCTGGCTGGTACATAGGGCAGTGATATATCTGTAAAGACCGACTTTCATTAAACTTTAGCAGGAATCTTGTTCCAAATTATTGAACATAGAACGGCGCTCAGTTTCATTTCGATTACATAATTGTTGATTTTAGAAAATAGACGATACCTTTTGATAACTGGAGGACTTGAGGTGAAGCGAAGATCACACCTTTATAGCACCATGACATCCAGGAATACCTCTCAGCCCTGATGAAGCGGTAAACCATTGGAAGAAGCACATTTAGATAAGCCGACTATTTATCCGAGCTTTGTTGAAAGCTGTTCTTTTGAATTACTTTATTGGTAACAATGTCGGAGTATATGCAACAACTGTAATAAACCTGCTTATAACAGAATGGAAATAAATTCAGCAAGCTCGATCGAGAATTTTCATGTTCCTTATGGGCGTGTTGGCCCCCTGGATCTCACCACTGCGGTTGGCGGAGTCGGTATTTGTCGTTTTTTACATATAAAAAATTCGCCGCGATATGTCCTGAATGAGGAGAATTACTTAGTGCATCGACTGCTTGGATCAAAATAAAGTATTTTTACATGGAATACATTCATAGAATAGCACTAGAAGCACCAGCATGACTAGACGATCATATCTTCCCGCTCCTATGAACGTGTTATTTTAACAGTGCTCTGCACAACAGCTCCACTAACGCTACAATGACTTTGAAAAGCAGTGCTTAGTAACTGCCACGACCGACTTTCTATTAACCTCGGCATTGATCAAGTGATTTTGTTCGTATTTTTTTGAGCAAACGCGAGGTGTTATTGTTCTTTGTTCACGATTAAGCTGACGTTTCGGCGAATTTCGCCTTCTTCAGAGCCTGGAAAGGTCAAGTTGGTAGCAACTCACTCGGCCAGACGCCTCCATAACCAAACATAGAAACCCCAAACCAAGATTTCAATCACTTTGAACACAGCTTTGCACACTCACCGCTTTCTATGAGATCTCCACTAAGTATGTCACGTAGAGACCAACCGCACAGAAATCACGTGGAAGTATAATGTGCCCCTCACATCAGAAAAGC